GAGGGAATGCAGATTTTGCAGTATCCTTTCCCTGGAGTGGGGAGGGAATGCAGATTTTGCAGTATCCTTCCCCTGGAGTGGGGAAAGAATGAACATTTTACAGTATCCTTCCCCTGGAGTGGGGAGAGAATTGAGATTTCGCAGTATCCTTCCCCTGGAGTGGGTAGGGAATGGGGATTTTGCAGTATCCTTCTCCTGGAGTGGGGAGGGAATAGGATTGTGCAGTATCCTTCCCCCAGGAGTGGGGAGGGAATGGAGATTTCACAGTATCCTTTTCCTGGAGTGGGGAGGAATTGAGATTTCACAATATCCTTCCCCTGGAATGGGGATTTTGCAGTATTCTTCCCCTGGAGTGGGGTGGAAATGGAAATTTTGCAGTATCCTTCCCCTAGGAGTGGGGAGGAAATGGGGTTTTGCAATATCCTTCCCCTGCCACACCCACCAGGTCATGCCCACCAAGCCATGCCATACCCACCAAGCCACACCACAGAACTGGTAGTAAAAAAATCTGAATCCCATCACTGACCTGTAGCATGTCGTTCCAGTCCCCGATGCACCCTCAATCTGGGAAAAAGTGTGCACCCCAGGGCATTGGCTCTGCCAATTCTGTACTTTTTAAACTGAACTCTGCCCACAATCACTGATGATGTAACCTAGTTTGGGTACTGAAATGTCTGCAAGAAAACCACCAATCTCAGAGAGCATCAAAGACCCCTGAACTTCCAAGTTGCTGCCTCCTGTGAATATTGCCTTCCAAGCCTGCACTCACTCTTCATAGAGTCGACAGTGTCCCCAAGTGAAAACTTCATGGATATTTCCTGGGAAACGTCCTGAAGGCCCTTGTAACGCTCCGGATTCTCTCCAGCTGAAAGTGGGAGGGCTCCATCCTGTCCTTCTACCTCCTCCTGGGATGGAAAGGCTGGCCCTGCAGATCCTCTAGAGAAACTTCGACAGATTTGCTCTCGGCCCTAAGGAACAGGGTAACCAGAAGATAACATTGGTAATCCTCAACTTGCAACCACTGATTTAGTGACCGTTGGAAGTTACAAAGGCACTGAAAAAAGTGATTGGTGACCATTCCTCGCATTTATGACCACAACAGCAACCCCAAGGTCATGTGCTTCGATTCAAGTGCTTGGCAACCAACCTGTATGAACAATGGCTGAAGTGTCCCCGGGTCACATGATTGTCATCTGCAGCTTTCCCAGCTGGATTCTGATGAGCAATGTCAATGGGGAGAAGCCGGATTCGCTTAAGGGCTGTGTGATTCACTTAATAACATCAGTGCTTTGCTTGACAAGCACATGCAGCAAAACAGTCATTATAAACTCACTTAACGACTGGCTTAATCAGCCACAGAAATTCTGCTCCCAATTGTGATTGTAAGTTGTAAGGACCTGTTTTAGCCCACTAGCGGCAAGCGGAGCTGACAGCAGAGTCGGACAGTGAGGAGGTTGGGGATGAACATGGGCCAGTCCTGGGGGCTGAGGAAAGCTAGGATGAGGGCTCAGCATTGGAGGCAGAGAGGGAGCTAGACAGCAGTGAGGCAGTGGAACAGCTGGAGCCTGTTCCCAGTGTGCGCATGCGCAGAGCTGCCAAAAGACAAGAACAACTAAGAAAGCAGAGTCAACTCAGGAGTAAAGCCACACCTTGGAGGTATTGGTCCCTCCCCTAAGAAACAAAAGAGAAGTGAACGGAAAGTGGGCTTTTGCAGGAAACAATTCGTTCCTTCGGCCGTTTCAAGAGTGGAAAGTTCTGTTTGTGACTATAAAAGACTCTTTGTCAGGTTTTGCCTTGCCCTGCATTTGGAAACTAGTATTTGGCAGTTCTTCAAGCGAGATAAGGTTCGTGTTGATAACCATTCCTCTGAAAGACTGCTAAGCTTTGTGGATTGCGAATGAAAGGAATTCACAATTGTGTAAATAAAAGGGGTTTTACCGGGACCAAGACTCTGCTTCTTGCTTTTTAAGGAAGCCTGGCCAAAACAGGACCCACCTGTACATTTGTACATGCATGAAATGAAAACCCTGATATGGAGAAAGAAATAATGGCACTCCCCCAAGAAGCATGTGAGACCAACAATCAAATGAGCACTACCCCAATCAAGAAACTGCCAAAGAGCCATCAGTAAATGGCCCAACCAAAGAACCCCCAAGACTACTTTACCCACACAGACAAGCATGTCACCAAGAACATAAACTGATAGCCAACCCCACTCCTTACTAGCACTGATGATGTTACCTAGTTGGGTAATAAAACGTCTGCAAGCTCAGAGAGCACCAAGGAGCCCCTCAAGCATTTGATAGACCAACTAAGGCTTTGGGTGTGTTGGATCCAGGGGATGGTCACAAAGTGAAACCAGGGCTAATTTCCCACCATGAGGAGAGATCTACTTTGTAAGGAAAAGATTGCTCAACTGTTGCTTTCTTGTCCCGGAAGCTGGCAACGTGGTAAAGGGTGCAGTAGCTGATGAGCCGGTCTCCGGGATAAAGGGACGCAATCTCGTTGGGTGACAGCAGGGCCTCCATGGTGTCAGGCACGTACCAGTCGATGGTGATGTCACTCACAGCTGGCTCAATGGCTTTCTTCAAAGACTTTATCAGCTGGAGGAGGGGGGGGCGGAAAGGAAAGCATATTGAATGCTTGCCTACACAGCAATCCATACTCTACTTAACGAACCTGGTAGCAAGAGTTGAGTGTTCTATCAATCGAGGGGAACTCAAAATATTATGAGCAACAAGGAAGGAGAAGTCCACATTTCAAAAAGGGCTGGGGAAACTCCAGAAGGTGACAAATGGAAGGGGAATCATGGTTTTGTTGAACTTTACATGCCTGTCCCAAAGATGTTTTCCAAATGGCAACTCTTGGCTTTTGTCAGAATATTCATGAACTGGAAGAGGACATAGCAACAGGTCAACCATTGGGGACTGGCTGGAAGAGGACATGGTAACAAGGCCAGCCAATGTATAAGCATGGCAACTGGGTCAGCCAATGGGAACTATTTGGTGACTGAGAGCCATGCCAGACGGCTCGGAGCTTGGGCGTGGCTTACCTATGTACCTCTGAGTCTGTGCAAGAGAACTAATCTAGCCTGCTCTCTGAATTGAAACTGGAAACCAATTTCTCCTCTCTACCACCTTGGAAGAATCTGATGTTGGCATTGTACATTTATTCATGTGTTATTATATATATAAAGAAGTTAATGAATCCAGCTGCATCAGTTATGTGTGTGTGCTTTCTGGATCCGATTTCTACAACAAACTCTGACAGTTTTGTCCTTGGAAACATTTGGCTTCTCATCCAAGAATCTTCTTCAGAACTGAAAATGCTTCTTGGACGATAAGCTATATGTTTTCAAGGGGAAAAAAACCCCAAAATCCAGTTGCCTTTTGGAAAAGCACCTTTGGGACAACCATGACCTGGATGATCGAGAATTTCCATAGACATTTAACATGCCTATCTTACTGTATTCTTCCTCCTATCCCAAACCCACGGCTGTTGGGACCTTACCCTTCTACTGGATAAGTAGCCACTGGAGATAAGCAGTGTTGGAATGGCCAGGATACCTAACTCATCCCTTTTTCTTTTAATATCCATATAGAAAGTGCATCGAAGGAGTATGTGTATTATTAAAGTACAGTTAGATCATGTGTGACTGACAGATTGGATGTCAAATTGTGATTTTAACGTAGATTTTATCTGTTATTTATTATTTTATTCTAGAATGTTTAACTGGATATTCTTGAGTGTTTTTATTTGTTCTGGTCTCTGGTCTTTGACTGTAATAAGCTTGATTTGAGTCGAGTTGAGTTGTTGGGAACATTTCTTCTGATATTCTTACTTCACAGCCCTTTCCACCCTCATATGCCAAAAGATCAGGAGTGAAATGTTGTAAAGTCTGCTACTGGTTCACTTCATGCACGCATGCGTGCCAAATGTGCGCTTTGCGCACAGGCGCACCGCAGGCACTAAGAAGCCTTTTCTGAGTCTGCAAAGGTAAATAGAATAGTGAGGAGGGGGAACAGCTGTGCTGCGTGATTTAGATTCGCTAGAAAGCAGGAAAGCAGTAAAAAATGCTTCAGGAGAACCGGTAGTTTAAAAAAAATGCTTTAAAACGTTTTTTTAAAGTTCCAACGATCAGCTGTGTGACAATCAGGTGTGCCATGCAATTGTTGGAACTTTTTAAAAAACAAATGTAAAGCATTTTTTAAACTATCACTTCGGGCGAAACAGCCCAAACCGGTAGCATTTCACCCCTGCAAAAGATGTTTTGGAAAATGATCTCTGTGGCTCCCAGCAATAACAATGAGATGCTGGCACCATACCGAAGATAAGGTTTCTCATAGGTGATGCATAGTTCATCAGCTTTGGTGCTCTATGATGGGCATGGCCTGATGACTGGGGTTAACTACCCACCACCCAAACCTGGGGACTGGATCAAAACCCATGATCAAAATAAAAAAGCATTATCCAAGGAATAAGAGCCCTACCTTAGGCTGCAACCTTTCCCCTGGGCTGAGGAATTCTGCCTGGCCTCTGCTAACTTTGGCCAATCTCCTGAGGAGCTGATGGCAGACAGCAGAGCCCAGGCCAAATGTGAAACACCTGTAAGAAGTAAAAGGCTGGACTTCAGAGACAAAACTGCTGTTTAAAAAAAAAAAAATCATCTCATTCTAAATTGTGCCGGCAGTATGCCTGGTTTAGTCATGCCACATCTTTGTTGCTGCCAAATGTGACATCTACCCTTATCACCCACATATCAGAGTTGAAGCTGTGACTTAATTCCAACTGTTTTTCAGACATGAATTTCCTGAAGGGGGTTGCAAATGACATCAGCTGCATTCACATTGTAACAGAATAACAGTTGGAAGTGACATTCGAGGTCTTCTAGTCCAACACCCTGTCCAAGAAACAGACCCTACACCATTTGAGACAAATGGTTGTCCATTCTCTTCTTAAAGACTTCCAGTGTTGGGGCATTCACAACTTCTGGAGGCAGGTTTTTCCACTGGTTAATTGTTCTAACTGTCAGGAAATTTCTCCTTAGTTCTAAGTTGCTTCTCTCCTTGATTAGTTTCTATCCATTGAATAGAATAGAATAACAGATTTGGAAGGGACCTTGGAGGTCTTCTAGTCCATCACCCTCCTTAGGCAGGGAACCCTACACCACTTCAGGACAAATGGTTATCCAACATTTTCTTAAAAACTTCCAGTGTTGGAGCATTCACAACCTCTGTCTTCTTGCTTCTTTGTCCTGCCTTCTGGTGCTTTGGAGAATAGCTCGACTCCCTCTTCTTTGTGGCAGCCTCTCAAATATTGGAAGATTGATATCATGTCACCCCCTAATCCTTCTTTTTCTTAAACTAGACATACTCAATTCCTGCAAATTTTCCCCCCATATGCTTTAGCCTCCAGTCCCCTACCTGTGTGTCATCACACAAATGGTGCAGATTCTATCGTTTGGGTCAGCTGTGTTATACAATAGACAACAGTGGCAAATTCCACATCATTTGGAAGATGCTCTTGGGATCCCTTTCCTGGTTTGAAAGTATACTCCACTGTGCCCATGTTTGGAGAGAGGGAGGGAAGGAGGGAGATTCCCCCCTTCAGTTGTCTGCCAAATTGGTTTTACAAGTTTTCAGCGGGGTTTATTTTGAACTCCAGGTGAGTTGTTTGTGACAGGTATCTGTTGACTTTTAAAGCTCACAATCAAACAAGACAGACACAGACTTCAATGGATAATTAGAAATGCAGAAAAAAAACAATTGCTACCAATCTGCCTTCCATCGAAGACCTGTATACTGCACTAGTCAAAAAGAGCCCTGTGAAAATAATTACAAACACCATCACATCCTGGACATAAATTGTTTCAACTCCTACCCCCAAAACGACGCTATAGGGCACTGAACACCACAACAACTAGACATAAGGACAGTTTTCCCTGAATGCCATCCTTCTGCTAAACAAATAATTCCCTCACCATTGTCATATTATTTGCTAAGACTGTATAACTATTATTCTTCTCTTCCTTCCTAGTACCTATCTCTTCCCACTTAGGACTATAACCATGTTGTTTGTATCTTTAAAATGTATATTGTTCTATTTGTTTCCTAGTATAATTTGATTGCTTATTAGAAACCTATCACTAAGTGTTGTATCTTATGATTCTTGATGAATGTATTCTATTTGATTTTTCTTTATGTACATTGAGAGCATATGCACCAAAGACAAATTCCTTGTGTGTCCATTCACTTTGGCCAATAAAGAATTCTAATATGGAAATTTATCTTCCTCAAGATGTTTCTAGGGCCAGGGATCTGAGAAGATAAATTTGTAACCTGGGAACAGAAAAGCCCAAAGTTTGAGGCCGGTTGAAAGAACTTCGTACCTGACAGTACTTGCTTGTCTCCTGACTAGTTCAATAACCTTGCCTGGGTTTTGTATGCTGGAATCCATCAGGATAAAGAGCTGCCGCGGATATCCACGGCGGAGAGGCTGTCCCAAACTCCAATTCAGAGCAGCAAGGAGGCTGGTCCTGCTCACGTCAGCCCGTAGCTTCTGAATATATTCGCAGGCCAGCCTAAGGATGTCCTGTGGAGATAATAAGCAGTTTACAGAGACATTCGCTTTTTTTTTTTTTTTGCAATAAAGTTGGGCAGGTAATTTTTTTGAAGACAGTGACTGCTCTTCTTCATTGTGGCATCCATGGTCTCTGAGGGCATGGCGGTTCAAGGTGTATGATAATTGAAGATGATAGCACAATGAATATTCAGCTTTATTGATGGTATAATCTAAAAGTTAGTGGTTGGAATTGGGAGCTTCAGTTTTGTGGGTGTTCTGCCCTAGGCTTCCCCAAAAAGCACAAAGCAGATTCCTGGTCCCGACAAAACCCCTTTTGTTAAATGATTGTGAATTCCTCTCATTCACATTCCGCAAAGGCCTGGTAAACAGTCTTGGAGTGGGTACTCACACTATTACAAGGCTTGCTCGTCTTGAAGGCAGGCCTGATGCTGAGGCCAAAGCCTGCCACGTTCAACAAGCTACTGGAAGGAAGGCTCTTTATGGCCACTACCAGAGCATCCTGCACAGGAAGAGGGAGAAAAAGTCAAAGTTACCATGCAGATGTATTTCTTCTCCTTCCTTCAGGAGATCCAGGTGGCCTCCATAGCCCTCTTTATCCCCACCCTGACATGCATTTGAAGGAAGTTGGGCTGAAAGGAAGCAACTAGCCCAGGGGTCAGCAAACCATGGCTCTGGAGCCGCATGTGGCTCTTTCATCCCTCTGCTGCAGCTCCCTGTCGCCAGTCGGCTCCACAATTGATAGGCCTTTCCGTTAAGGTTGCCAAACCCTGAACTAGGAGATTTCTAGCTGAGGGGAGACCTATATCTTCCTGCTGCCAATTCACTTTCAAGTAGAGAAGCAACCTAGAACTAAGGAGAAATTTCCTGACAGTCAGAGCAATCAGTGGAACATAGTGCGCCTTCAGACGTTTCCTCCAACACTGGAGGTTTTTAAGAAGAGTTTGGACAACTATTCGTCTGAATTGGTTTTGGGCCGTGATGGTGAACCTATGGCAGGTGGCAGGTGGAGCCATATCTGAGGGCATGCGAGACATTGCCCTATGCCAGCTGATGTTCAGCCTTCCGGAGGGCCGAAAAGCCTTCTGAAGCCTGTGGATGGTGAAAAATGGGCCCAACGGAACTTCGGAAATGAACAGAACGAAGGCAATGTGAAATCACTTCTGCGAAGCTGCTAAGACGATTACATGGATACAATCGTGACACTGAGTTGAACTCAACTCAACTCAAGGGTGTCTTTATCCAACGGTCTGACTCTTCCTAAAAGGCAGGTTCCCACGTGTCACTAATGTAAGATTCCATTTACCTTGATCCCATCAATGCTGGAGCCACTTGCGCTTCCTGTCTGGTCAATGAGGAAGAAGATTTCCCTGGTCACCGTCTGAATGTCAGTAGAAACACTGCTTATCTTAGGGCAGAAATTCAGCATCAGGACAGGATTGTAGAAAATGTCTTTGTGGAATCTCTTCTGGACAAAGGCAACCTAGGAGGAAGAAAAGAAGAAAATCCGCAAAGGAGGCCTTAAAATCTGAGACTTTGTTTTGGTAACATGGACATGCTTTAAAGCTCTCGGCAATTTGGAAGGATCCAAAACTCTTGGTTGCAGGAGGGAAAGTCCATCTAACCGAGGATCATTCCATTTACTTCTCAGAAGTTTTAAGTAAACACCTTTCCTTTTTTTATCTTCTACATTAGGGAGTTGTATTTATTTTAAAATAGAGGCTCCATCATTTATGTATCATGGGTAACGGGCATCGTGTTCTGACCTAGGTTTCCCAAGATCATAAAGCTGACTCCTCGTCTCGATAAAACCTCTTTTATGTAGGTTAAAGAGAATTCCTCTCCAACAGATTCCTGGCAAACAGTCTTTCATGGGATTTCACAAATACAGACTTGGAGAGGTACCAGACCGATATCTTCCAAACTCCACTCTATAGCAGCAATGACTTGGCAAGAAGTCAGGAACAGACCTTCACCCCCATGAATTGAACTCATTGTCTCTGCAAACTCCACTCCCCTTTCGCTCCTCTTTTATTTCCTCTGGGAGGGGCCATTCCTCGTCCATCTGTGGCCTTACTCTCAGGTCCCCCCCCTGTTCTTTAGCTGTTCCCTTCGTCTGGCAACTCTGCGCATTCACACACTGGGAACAGGCTCCAGCTGTTCTTCTGCCCCACTGATCTCTGACTCCGAAGGCAGCTGATAACTGGCATACAGCCCTGGCCCCCTCTCTGCATCCGACACAGAGTTCTCATCAGAGCCTTCCCCAGACTCCAGATTCCTTCCCAATGTCTTCACTGTCCGAATCTGCTCCCAGCTCTGCTGGCCTCTGGCAGGCCACACTT